AAAAAATATTCTCCATGTTTTCCCCAGACGGCAGCGTCAGCATATGCCTTCAATTAACGCACAGGGGGGTCCTTGATGTGTTAGCACTTCTATTCTAATGCGATACATAAACCTTTTCGGTATGTATTACATTTTTTTGTCGAATTCTGATTTGTATAAACAAATTGGAAGTGTGACACTTTCCACAGTTGGCAGTGCTTCATTTTACTTGATACTTAAGAGGAAGCGCTGACAGTGCTGTTCTTGAAGTATCAGAAAACTCATAACCATAATATCTGCTATCAGTGGCGAATCCAGGATTTTAGTAAAGGGTGTTCAAAATTTAACACAACAAAAAATATAATAGCAAATCAAAAAAAAAAAAAAAAGGTTTACCCCTTCCATATTTAAAATATAAAATATGAAATGGGTAATTTAGTGCATGAAATGGGTAATTGGTGCTTGAATTGATCTACTTATCTAGGAAATACTTTTGTATTCCTCAGCAACTAGCTACATGTAAATGGTTCAGTTTTTCTCGAATGGGATGTTATGTCAATGAAATGGTCGCTAACACAGATTTACTGCATGAAAGAGCAAATTGTTATACTTCTTTCATTGGCTCGTTTTCTGATAATTTGCTTTACAGCTCCTACTGGATACTTCAATGGGTTTCCATATTAGTGATATTTTCTGAATGTTTTTTTTTTTCATTTTTCTACCCTTACTTTGAGAATGGAATACTAATGTACATTATTAGTTCTAATATGCGATGTTCATAGCAACACTGGTTTGTTCTTCCGTAGTCTGGATTTTCTGTATCCTCACAAATTATAGCCAACATATGAAGATCGAATGTTTCAATACTACAATTTTATTATTTATTTCAGGGTCGCAGTAACATGCTTCCATTTTTCCCTCCCAAACCTGAAGATGTAGCCACTATATGCTATACCAGTGGTACTACCGGCACACCAAAGGTAGCATTTTGATTGAAGTTTTTAGATGGTACAGTTGACACACAAAATTTTTGGTAACTAATTGTAATGCTGCCTTTTCTTTTCTCCTCCTTTCAATAGGGTGTTGTATTAACTCATGGAAACTTGATTGCAAGTGTTGCTGGCATGACCCTTCTAGTCAAATTTCATTCCTCAGATGTGTGAGTTTTTTTCTTGGAATATGATGAGTTATTTTGTGCCGTCCCAATTTATAAATAATTTTTTTCTTGTTTGAGCAGCTACATATCCTATCTTCCACTGGCACACATCTATGAACGAGCTAATCAAATTACGTCAGCGTTTTACGGCGTTGCTATTGGCTTCTACCAGGGGGTATGTGATTTCTACATAGCAATTTGTGTTTGCTTCTGCTGTTCTCACCAATAATTCTGAAAAGAGAGAAAATTTAATAAATATACTCGTTTGGAAGATGAAATTAATCCCTTGTACCCCAACAACCACATCACACTCCCATTCCGCAGTAGGATGTACCTGATGTGTCTTTGTTAATGTATGTGATTTGTTGGGCTGAGATGGAATGGGTAATTAAGAGGGTCAATACCAAGAAAAAACTGAAGAATAATGTGACCTAGCTATTCTTGCCTTGCGTGCGAAGACATTTGTAACCTTCTTTCTCACATATATTTGCTGTAAAACAAAGGTTATGCATGCGACTGGTGAACTCTAGCTGCTGAGTGAATCTATGAAAATTTCTTCCCCTAGCTATTAGGGGTCCATTAATCAATATTCATAGGAGGAAATTAGATTCAGGTTTAACGTGTAAGCAAATAATATGAACAACTGAATAAGAATCGAAGTGATATTGGTGGCTGTGAATATAAAATATTTTTTGCATTTTCCATGAGATTAATAATTTTATGTATGCTGAAAAGCATGACGTTTGTTCTTCCTAGTTCCTTATATCGTTCAAGAGCCTTACATATGAAGTTGTGTTACTAATACTGCAGGATAACCTGAAGCTGATGGACGACTTAGCTGCTCTAAGACCCACTATATTTTCTAGTGTCCCTCGTCTATACAACAGAATATATGCTGGGTATGACTATAAGTGTCCATCAAATTACTGTTTAAAACTCTTCAGTGAGGTCCTCAGATATTAATACTTCCTTTTTTTGTGTATTCTTGCAGGATAATTAATGCCGTAAAAACTTCTGGTGTTTTGAAGGAGAGGTTATTTAATGCAGCATACAATTCCAAGAAGCAAGCTGTGATGACTGGTATGATTGACTAAATTTGGAAGCTGTACACTTCCATTTTGCTTTCTGTATCACATCTAAATTTAACGAGGATTGGAACTTGTTGGGTTTTATTTTCCCTTTCTGTGACATCGAATACTTGGACAAGATTATGTCGCACTTATTCTGTCGCTAAAGAACAGTACACTCAGACATAAAACTATAAAAGCATGGGTTTTGTTTTGCCGTCAATACTTCTACTTTCTCGCCGCCTAATTCGAGTAGTTGAGAAGAGTTAAATATTTCGGCTACAGAAAAGGTCTGCGATGATAAACTCAAATGTTTGGGATCTTACTGTTAATGATCCTCTTTGACGTGCTCATCGTGAATAGTGATTTGATATCAGATCAAGAAAGAAAAATGTTGATTGATCTCTTTGCCTTAGAGATGTAAAAACAATTGAACAGTTCTATTGAGTGTGATTATGGTGGACCTGGTTATCAAATATGATTGAACAACTAGGAGTTGTTTCATTAGTACCTTCAGTGACTACCCTCTTTGCTTTGATAATCTACTATGTACAATTCAAGCTCTTATTTTTGAATCTTAAGCTGTTGTCACTGTTTTCCTATGTGGTAAGGTCGAAACCATTCACCAATATGGGATAGGCTGGTATTCAATAAAATAAAGGACAAACTTGGAGGCCGAGTTCGGTACCTGACTTCAGGTGCTTCACCATTGTCACCTGACGTGATGGAGTTTTTGAGGGTGTAAGTTAATTTATATATTTACGAATAAAATTAGTTAGTATCATTAGGAAAACCATTAGTTCACTCTTACCATCTTGCAGGTGTTTTGGCTGTCAAGTAATTGAAGGTTACGGTATGACAGAGACTTCTTGTGTCATCAGCTCTATGGAGGAGGGTGATTTCTTAACTGGTCATGTTGGTTCTCCCAATCCTGCATGCGGTAAGTTGTTAAAAAATGATTTCTATATATATCAGCAAAAATAGAACTGTTGAGATAATAAAATATAAAGTATACATAATGGTTTTTGCTATGTAGAATCTAACGCTCGTCTGACATTGATTTTTGGTCCCTCTAGAAATAAAGCTTGTGGATGTTCCTGAGATGAATTATACTTCAGAGGATCAACCTCATCCTCGTGGGGAGATCTGTGTCAGAGGGCCCATTGTCTTCCAAGGCTACTACAAAGATCAAATCCAGACGTAATTACCTATGCCATAATTGTTCGTTCTCAGAATTAATTTTGGATACTAAGCTCTGCTTGATCTTGATTAATACAGGAGAGAAGTTTTAGATGATGAAGGTTGGCTGCACTCTGGAGATATTGGAATATGGATACCTGGAGGCCGCCTGAAAATTATTGATAGGTACCTTATCATCTGTTAAACTCGTTCTCCCAACCCCCATCAGAAAAAGAAAGGGAAACAAAAACCAAGTTCTTTTTGTCGGCTTTATGTATTCTTCTGTTTTCATCTTTACTTGAAAGACTCTTAAAGAATTTGTTCGGGATATCTTCAAAATTTAAACTTCTTTAGTACTATTTAATTTACTTTTAGTGGCAAGTATTTTGTGGAGAGATTCAAATAGTTCTCTTTCATTATCATCAGGAAGAAGAACATTTTTAAGTTGGCTCAGGGCGAATACATAGCACCAGAGAAAATTGAGAATGTGTACGCGAAGTGTAAATTTGTTGCGCAGTGCTTTGTGTACGGTAAGAAGATTCTTTTTGTTTCGTCTGTCAATCTCTCTCACCTATCTTTGTGCTAATGAAGGTTATGCTTATAGGTGATAGCTTGAACTCCTGTTTAGTTGCTGTTGTATGTGTGGAGCCAGATGTGTTAAAGGATTGGGCCAATTCCGAGGGTATCAAGGTAATTAGACCTCTTCCACTTATTCGTTTGCTTCATGTTTGCACCTTATTTTGAAAATCTTAAATAAATTTCTGAACGAATTCATTTCCGTAATTAATTCACGTATGTAACAAAGGCATTTTTAGTACGTACGCTTATATCATCGTCTGTTATGAAACTCTCTCAAGCATGTTATTCTTGATGCAGTATGAAGACCTGGAACAACTTTGTGCTGATCCAAGAGCAAAGGCTGCTGTACTTGCCGAGATGGATGCCATTGGAAAGGAAGCTCAGGTACCTTCAAAATCATATATCCGTTTTCTCATTTCAAAATTTAGACCATTGCTACAATATATTCATTCAAAATTAACCTTCGATTCGTTTATGTTTGTTCAGTTGAGAGGTTTCGAATTTGCAAAAGCCGTAACCTTGGTGGTTGAGCCGTTCACTCTGGAGAACGGCTTGTTAACTCCAACATTTAAGGTAATATACATACATATATATATATATATATATATATATATATATATATTCATCTCAATGTTCTAATAAGATTGTATCAATGTTCTAATAAGATATTATAATACAGTAGAACCTCGATAAATTAATAACCTTGATTAAATAATAGTTTATCTCGGTCCCGACTAGATGAAAATGTGTTAAACTATTAACTCGATAATTTAATAATTCGCTAAATTAATAAAAAAGTTCCCTAGTCCCGACTGTATTAATTTATAGAGGTTTAACTGTAGTTTGATGAAAACATGTTTAAACACAATTTGTTATTATTGTGGATTCTCAGGTGAAGAGGCACTCAAGCAAAGGCTTATTTCGCGCAAGCAATATCTCGTATGTACGCAGAGCTTTCCACGTCTGATCCAACGCCACAGAGCATGTTGTAACCAAACATCATGGTAATAAAAAGACTTGCACATTTGGTGCATCCTAATTTTGAATAAATGCAACAGCCAATTGTTTTTTTTTCCGGACGATGTTCTTCATATGGGATGGATGTATAATATGGATTTTAAAGCGTTTTTAGTTCATTTATTGAATCGTATGGTCTGGGCTGGAGCTGGAGCTATCGGGGTTGTACGATATCGTAGTGCTACAGAGATAGTTATTAAATCGTAAGCCCTAGGGTGTAATTTTATTTATTTACCAAATTGACCTATCAATCCATTGTTTTAGCACGGCATCCCAAATTTATGCTAAAATCTTGATATCTAATGGTAAGGATACGCTATTGTACCGTACCGAATTGTTTTGGTGCAATAGTATGGGTGGGAATTGGACGGAATGGATTGGAAATGACTTTTCTGCAAAATTTTCAGTTTCTTTTGGAAGTTAAAATGGGTTTCAATATTTGTTCCAAAAGAAATGTAATGTAAAAACTCAGTTCTGATTTTGGAATGACTTGGAATCAGCGGAGCTTCGGAAATGACAATAGTTTATAATCTCTTGTTCCAAATTTGGGTATGAGAATCTTCACAAATATTTTCTTTCTTTTTTGAAATTTTACTAAAAAATGCAAGAAAATCGAAAAGAAAGTTTAACAAAATGCAATCCATAATGTATAGGTTGAAACATTCATTTTCTGATAAGGAAAAATGCTACATAAAGTTTATGATCAATATTTTCTAAGGTTCTAATTTACTTGAACCTTCTGTTTTTATATTTTTCATATAAAATATAATATAAGTTATATTATGGAATTAAAATATATTATAAAACTATATTATATATTTCAACAAACAATTGGAATATTTGGAACTAAAATTGGATCGGAAATTGGAATTTTCAGTAATTTTATATACAATTCTGATTACGTTCCAATTATATTCAGAAAAAAAAAATCAGAACTCCGGAAATCGAAATGAAAAGTACGGTTCCAAATTCAAAAATATTCATTTCAATTATTTTTTTTAAAATGCATTTTTTTGTAAATTTAAAAAAAATATATAAAAGTTAGTACAATATATTTCAAAATATCTATTCCAATTGATTTTGGGGGGGAAACAAAAAATACAAAAATAATGCATTTTTCTCGAAAAAATGAACAGTTCGATTTCGTCAGCAAGAATTTTCGACAATGGCTGAAAAAGATAAAACTTCAATTGCTCCAGCCCCGATTATTATCCAGCAGGAAAACTTTGGCTTTCCTGTTGGTTTTGTTTTGAATGAAACTAATTATCCATTATGGTCGCAGTTGATTCAGATGCGAATTGGAGCTCGTAGCAAAGTTGGATATCTTAACGGAGCAACGAAAAACCCCGCACTTGAAGATGCGAACTATATTACATGGGTTACTGTAAACCACAAAGTGAAGAGTTGGCTCATCGATTCAATGAGCCCTCACCCAAAGTAACGATTTATTCGTCTTGGAACAGCAAAAGAAATATGGGAGGCAGTGTCAAAGACCTTCTATGATGGATCTGACGAAGCACGATTATTCGAATTAAATCAAAAATCCTTTTCGACAACTGAGAATGGGAGGCCTGTGTCTACATATTACAATGAATTGGTTGCAAAATCTTCCAAGACATTGATCACTGAAACACTGCCTAAGAAGAATCTGTTGAAGGGCTCTTACAACTTGCACTCGAAAATGATGCGTTTGCGAGTTCATATTTTTCTGAACGGCCTCGATTATGAATATGATCAGATTCGCGGAGAAATTCTTCGAAAAGACCCAAAGTTGGAACTGGAAGGAGCCTATGCATGCGTGAGAAGAGAGTCACAACAACGACAGGTCATGGGAGCGTGTAAACTGATCTCTGAAAATACAGCTATGATAGCTAATCGAAATCGGCGAGGGGAAAGTTTCAATTATGGCAAAGCAAAAAATGGTCGAGGTTCAGGAAAATCGAGTAATTATGCTTGCACTCATTGTGGTGAACCTGACCATTCAAAACAACATTGTTATGAGCTTATTGGATACCCTGAATGGTGTGATTTTTCAAAGAAACCCAAGAAGAATGTTCTTGACAAAGCGGCTATATCATAAGAAGATCTTCAACCTCAGGAACAACTTTCAGTACCTAACGCCAATGTAACTGTACCAGGTAGTGTTGGTAGCGCCCATGCAGCGGGGCCGTGCTTTCATGTTTGATTTGTTACGTCATGCATCTGGCATTGGAGAAATTGGATCAAGAGATGGAGCCACGAAACAAGATTTGAGTAATTGCACCCACTATCTTTCGAATATTTATGGGTTCCCTTGTGCGTGTCAAATTATGCACAAAATGGATGATAATGATAAGTTCGTCATTTCAGATATGCATCCATTTTGGAGTACCATGGTTGTTGAACCTTCGGAGCTACATGAATATCAAGCGAGCCGTGAGGCGGTTGTAGATAGACAGATTGATGACCTGAATTATGATTTGAAGAAGATGAATAACACGGGCAAGATAGATGACGTGGCCTCATTTTGTAGCATCGTTAATCCGTCTACGACTCATCCGTCCGAGCCATCATTTGTAAGACCAAAGGACGACCAAAGAATAACTCGACAAAGAGAGACCTTTCGTATGACAGTATCATATTGATTCGGAGACAATTAAGTCGTCTTGTGGTTTCAATGGTCGCCAAACCTCCCTTGCAACAAAGATTCCTAAATCAAATATAGATAGAACTACTAATGGAACGCCTCAATCGAAGATGGAAGGTCTTGGTTCTTGTATTCCGACACAAGAATCCGTTGGCCCTTCAATACATGCATATGCAGGAATCGACTTCTATTCTTTCGTGTTTAAATTTATGATCCGTTTTATTCAAGATTATGTCAACGTGATGGTGGATGGCAACTGTGGCTACCGGTGCGTTGCTCAGGCCGTGCATGTGGATCAAGAAATATGGCCTCAAGTGAGAGGGGAGTTGTTTATTGTGTTATATGAGCATGCTGATGCGTACACGTCGATGTTTGGCAGTACTGGATACGTTCAGGTGATACGCAAGTGCGACTAACCCTCAGGTCCTTTGTCCACAAGCTTATTAGATGAACATGAATGAAATGAGATTGACCATTGCTACTAAATACAATGCATTGGTGCTACTTTTGACTTAAGTGGGAAGTATGACTTACCTTACTCTGTTTGGCAGTAGTCAATTATCATGTATGATTATTGTGACATTGCACAACAGTCAATTCATTCTTGTTAATTTGGATAGCCCTCTACCACATGCACCACCTCTCCATCCGACATGTATACATCATAGAGCTAAAAATCTGAGGCACTTTCTCAAAATGTTCAAACCCCGGCTAATCGGGGACGAACAATTAAAGTTTGGTCGGTAGTTTACAAAATGTTCTTTCATTGCAATTTGTATTTGTATTTGAATTTTAGTTCAATTTTTATTAGTGTTTGAGTTTAGGAATATTTATTTGATTTTATTGTCATTAAACTCTCTTGTATTTATTTGACTGTTAACAAATAAGTTGGTTATAAAATAAAAAAAATAGTTGTTTCGTGCAGTATTACACGAAATATAAGCTTTCATTTCGTGTAGACTCTCACGAAATGAGAGTTATCATTTCGTGTACTATTGCAAGAAACGAAAGAAATCATGAAATCCTCCAATTTTGTGTTTCGTGCTCTATACTGATAAAACACACAGATTTCGTGCATTTGTACACGAATTTAGTCACTACATTTCTTGCACTGTAACACGAAAATTGTGATTTTGTTGTGAGAATTGTGATTTTTTTGTTCGAAAATTACAAATGAAATAAATTGCATGGCAAGTTAGTAAAAAACGTTCTATGAATAGCATTTCAGTACAATAAATTTAAATGAAATAAATAAAACTATACGCTTTATTTGCAAAATATTATTAATTTATTAGTATTTTTGAAGTTATAAATTAATAATAAATAATACAACAAATTAGGATCTTGGTATAAATACACTAGTAATTCTACTAGTAATTCTCCCCGTGCGTTGCATTCACAATGAACGAGAATAATTATTTAAATATATAAAAATTAATTTGTAACAAAAAAATGTATTACATAATATTAAAATATTTATTTGTGAAATTTAAATTATAGTGATAGCATAAAAAACTGAGGTTATTATAAATTTTGTTTTTGGGAACAAACGAATAAGATAATTAAATGTATGTATTCTTTGGAAAATAATATGAAGTATAATATATATATACACTCTTGTTTGCCCGAGACCTAAAATTTAGTTGTAGAAGGTTAAAGCAAAAATTTGTTAGCCTAAAAAAAATGAAGAATGCAAGAAGACGTAAAGAAGAATCTAACTCTCTAATAATAACTACACTTCAGCATATGCAATACCAATTTCACTTGTGCAAGACCAAATTAAAGAAAGATTGCAAAAGATTATATTTTATTACGATGAAATGACAAATATACCCATAAACTAAATTGACTTTTGTTTGCTCATGCAAAACCAAATAACAAATAATGCAAAAAAAAAAATAGTAGAATTAAAAAAAAAAAAAAGAGAAAACCCAGCCCCCTGTGAAACACCCTTCCCGTAGCCACAGCAGCGTTGCCCAAGCTCCTCGCCGACCGCCGCCGCCAGCCCCGACGCTTACAATCATGAGCGACCTAAACCGGCCCAACAACGCTTCAAAAATGTTAATGCCTCATTTTGTTTAGCCTTAAGAATAAGAGGGGGAAAAATTATATTTGAAACTGGTAAAAATTGACACCAAGGTGTCGAAAAAAAGATCCAAAAAATTCGACATCAACAATATGTCG